CCCCAAAACCCCAAAACCCCAAAACCCCAAAACCCCTTTGTGGTAAATTATACTTGAGACTGTAATAATTATTATAAACATGAGGCATAAATTCAAAGTCAAGCAATTCGGCAGGAGGAAGAAGCATAGAGATGCCATGTTTAGAAATTTGGTTCAGGAGTTAGTCCTTCACGAAAGAATTTGTAGGTGCCTGCTTTATGATACTGGTTGTAGATCTGCTGATTTTGGAGAGATTTTCTTGATTTGGGCTGTTGTCTAAAGAATTTATAAATTATTTCTATAGACACTACATACACAAAAGCTATGTATATGAGACCCCTGGCAGAATTTGTAATCAACAAGGCTAAAGGAGACACAAGAAAAGCCCACCATCATTTGGGTAAAATTTTCTATAAGAGAGATGCAAAACTTAAGGCCATGAGAGAGCTCGCCCCAAGATTTAAGTTCGGATTTGTTTCTCATCTTCTAGGGACCAAAATGGAGGTTATGTGAGAGTGGTAAAATCCCATATTCGTAGAGGAGACAAGGCTCAAATGGCTTATATTGAATATATTGGAAATTCAATTGAGATATTTGAAGAGGAAAATAGAATTAGAGAACAAGAAACTAAAAATCTTCCCTCATTCTGGGAATGGGAAATGAAAATTCTTGAGCAAGAAAGAGAGTTTTATGAGAATGAAATCATGAGACTGACTGGGCAAACCACAGAAGCTCCTCAAATTGAGGATACCCAAGAAGAAGTTGATGACCAGGTAGACCACCCTAAAGAAGAAACAAAAGATGATGAAACACAGACAACTCAGAAAGTAAAGCTTAATGTTGATAGTTTATAGGAAAGTGTAAAAGCAGAAGACTTATACACACAAAATCTTGTTAAGAATGCTTCATCTCCTATTGTAGATATGTCCGGATCTACATTATCTCAGCTTTCAGTATCTGTTGCTAACCAGATTAAGCATCTTGAAAAGAATATTAACAGAGTTGAGATGGATATTGAACTACATATAAAAGAAAAGGATAATAAAAATTACGGAAGACACTTTGAACCATTCTAATTAGGCTGAAGGAACTATTGTGCTTAAAAATGTTATGCCAGCCATTCAATTTCTTGTAAAATAAATGGGGTTTTGGGGTTTTGGGGTTTTGGGGTTTTGGGGTTTTGGGGTTTTGGGG